TAACCGTACTTTGGGAGATAATCTAGGTTTTGATCTAAATGTAATTCTTTTCCTCAAATTCAAAATCAGAAGTAAAAGACAGTCACTGTTGTCACTTTCTTGTAGGACAACATGACACATATGTTCTGAGTTGCAGATACATGAAAAAGGGACTTGGAACATCACCACATACCTGGCACCTTCTAACTTTTGTTTCAGATTTTTTTGAGCTAAGGCATGGACTTAAAAAGGAAATAAATTACATGAAGGATTAAATTAGACAGTGCCCAAGAAAGCATTTTAGAAAGTACTGAATGCTGAGTCAATATACATTTCCCTTTATTAAAAACTTACATTACTATAATCTGCCTGTAATAAGTGATATATAAATAGGAATATAATTTAGCCACCACTGTCCCCTTCTTCTTTATGTTTCTTTCACATGCTTATACAATAAGAAAAATAAATTTTTATTATTATTTTTTTTGTGGGACCTTTGCCAGCGGCCTGGGAACGAACCGGCACCGCAGAGACTACGGGCAGCCTCGCAGCCCAGCACTCAACCACTGCGCCACCAGGGGAGGCCCAAGAAAAATAAATTAAATGAACCAATTAAATACCCTAGTAAATTAACACTTTCATAGCAAATACTCCCCTGTTAAATCAGAATAAAAAAAATAAACTGAATATTAGGTGTACAGAAGAAAAAAACAAAATTAGTCACTCAAACTGGTATTATTCTGAGAAAATCAATACTGATCTTAATGACCTTAAATAGAAAACATATCTAAATTCCTGGCAAATATATATGTTGTTGTTTTAACACACTCTTCTTTACTGGAGGAAAAATAAAAATAAATTTTCAGAAAGCTACCATGCTTAAAAATACCTAAAACATGAGTAAACAGCCAGGTTGCCCCTTAGTCCTAAAGAATCACTTAAATTGATCTTTTTAAATATTAATTTCTTATATGCCACTTCAAAAATTACTTAAAACTACAACTGGTGATTGCAGCTAATGAACTATAGCTAAAAATATTACAATATTATGTATGTATGTGGATGTCTGATATTCGTTTTTAAAAACATGTTGTGCTAGTTACTATGCTAGTTGCTACTAGTTCCTGGAGGTATAGGAGAGAATAAGATACAGATGACCCCTATTTTCACTGATTTTTAAATTTACCAAGGGAGTCCTATATTTAATAGTTTTTCGAATGCAATTTTGTTAAGTGTCATGAAAGGTAAGTATTTGGTAATACGAAAAATGCATAATAGGGAAAGTGTAGTTTAAGGCTTTGGGAAATGCTTCTCGAAGCAAATTAGGTTTGTAGATGAAGATCTGTGTTAGGTATGGTAGGGGGTTTTTGGATGGGATGGTTCTAAGATACAAGAATAGCAAAATGTACAGAGTTCAGAGAGGAAGGTGGATGGTACATTCAGTGAATAGTAAGAAGGCGTGCTTGACTGAGCAGAGCCATCAATGGGATATCCACAGGATGCCATGCAAACAGGCTTAGGGTCAGCTGGAGCATACTGGTAAGTGAAGCTGTTAAGCAGGTCACTGACATGATTGTTACAACATCGGTAAAATATTTAAAGTCATGTTAACTCAAGGGGAAATATTAAATTTCATAAAACAGCATAAAAAATCAGAACTACAGAGCTATTCGGAGATTTTTATTTTTAAATTAATAGAAAAAAATGCTAGATTTAAGTAAGATATAAAGATAGAAGCAATTTAAAACAGATGTTATGTTGGAGTTAAATGTTAGAAGCTATATATCAAGGGCAAAAAATAAGAATAAAACTTCAAAAACCTCAGTCTTATATGAGGGTAATCTTCAAAATTGCTTGATACCATACATACAGTTGGAAGAAATGCTAGAAATAATTATGTTTATTTATTTTGTTCCTATTTAAAGTTTCCTGGGAAGAATGTCCAAAACAGAATAGATGCTTAGCCTGCTGTAGGTTGAAAATACACAGTGTAGGGTAAGGTAAAAAGTATCAGGCTTTTCTGCCCTCCCGCCATTAGGATAGATGACGGAACCCTGTGGTCCCGAATGTATGCCTGATGGCGGGTGCCTGGAATGGGGTGTGGGCATATGTAGATGGGATTTACCTGGGCTAAGACTGGACTTTTAAGGGCAGCATCACAGGGACGCCAGCAGAAGCTGAGAGAGAAGGAGACGCAGGAAAGCAGAGAGAACGCGAGAGAAGGCCGGAGAGCCCAGAAAAAGTGAAGACTTGCTGGGGGCCGGGAGGCCTGCCAGCCTCCCGGCCCCCAGGCCCCCCTACCTTTCATGTACCTGGTAAATCCCAATAAAAGCCTGCAAAAGCCACTGAGGGCTTCAGGACTCTTTCCTCCTTTACCCAGTCTGCTGGATCGTAGAAAACCTGCACTGTATCCATTCCTGCCGCTACACACAGTTAAGGTGATATTAATATATTCCAGAAAGAGTATTAAGTTCCTGTAGATTTTCAATGCCTTAATTGTTCATGACCTATTGTGGCCCTGAGGGAAGGCATTTTTGAGTAAGACTCAGGAAATAATTCTTACTATAAATGTTCATAAGACTTTTCTTACTTTAAAATTGTCAATATTAAATCTACCATGAGTATTAGATCTCTGTCATAGAAGGTTTTTTTTTTTGTTTAAAGATTTATTTATTCACACATACAACAACTGGGGTACAGACCAGATGTGCGGGAGTGTGAGAGGATTCACCAGAGACAGAGCAGGGAACAGAACAGGCAGACTGACTGAAATACACTGCTGAGGGGAGCAGCAGGCAAGACAGGAGAGGTCTGCCGCACCATATGGGTATCTTCCCAGCAATCGAACCCGCGATGCAGAGGCTGTGGACACCTTCACAGTGCTGCACTCAACTGCCTGCACCACCAGAGGAGGCCCCATTGAAGTTTTTTGTTTGTTTTTTATTGTGATGCTTGAAGAGGCTGTTTACATGCTACTGGTTAGAACTGTCTTAACAAAGGACAGTCTTTGGAAAAGGGCTTTCTCAGTACTCTAAACTACACTTTCCATTCTTAGGTATAGGTGTCTGAGTTCACATTGCTTACACAACTACAGGCTAAAGCAGCAGACTGAGTTAGGATTTCTAGAATTTATGAGTTTATGGTATACTTTGGAAATAGTTATTTCCAGATATACAAGGAAAACCTTTCACTTTCTTCTGAGCTACTTATAGATTGTAATAATTTAATAAAATGATTTAGTAAATGAAATAAAATACTTAAAGGTCTCCTACTAACTCCCAAGTTCCTCTTACTTTACATGGAGACATGCTTTTTGTGTAGGTTCTAAGATATCATCTTTGATATAGTTGAATAAACTGATAGTATAACTAAGGCCTTACTGAAATGACAGTATTTGTGAATGATGCTCACTGAATCAGGGATGATCAGATTTTTAAAAAATTTCTTTTATTTATTTATGCATACAAGAGCTAGAGCGTAGACCAGCAGTACGAGGGTGAGAGGATTCACCAGAGATGGAGTGGGGAGCAGAACAGGCAGATTGACTGAAATACATTGCTGAGGGGAGCAGCAGGCGAATCAGGAGAGGTCTGCTGTGCCTTGTAGGTTAGCTCCCTGGCCAGGGATTGAACCTGTGCTGCAGTTGCTGTGCATAGCTTCATAGTGCTGAGACTTAACCCCTTGCACCACCATGGAAGACAGGATCAGATGTTTTGTTTGTTGTTTTTTTTAAAGATTTATTTATTTATGCATATATGATCTGGGGTATAGGCCAGAGGTGTGGGGTGGAGGTGAGAGGATTCACCAGAGACAGAGTGGGGAGCAGAATGGGCAGACTGACTGACATACACTGCTGAGGGGAGCAGCGGGAGAGTCAGGAGAGGTCTGCTGTGCCATGTGGGTTGCTCCCTGGTTGGCTGGGGAATTTACTCATGCTGCAGAGGCTGCAGAGGCTGCAGATTGCTTCACAGTGCAGTACTTAACCCCTTCCACCACCAGGGAGGCCCCAGATCATCTGTTTTTTAAGGAATGAGGCTGCTTTTGCTAAGGGACTCATTGCCTGCATATGCTGCTCAGGAAACCTGGCCTGGTGCCTGGCTGACACACTGCAGCATCAGAGGTCAGGAAGGTCAATTCTTGACATGTTAAGCTTATTAACAAATTGGTGATACTGTGAGGAAAGGAATACACCCAAAGGTGTAGGATGCACAGGTGAAATCTTGTGTATGACTTCTTGTTCTCGGCTTCCTATCCTCCAAGTATTTCAACAACAGAACCTTTCAAGAGTTTAATCTGAGATGCTTACAAAAAACTTTCAGAGATAAAAGATTTAATCAGAAGCTCTAGGCTTTTATTGCAGAAAAATAATTCTGTCCCCCCACATGCATTTTCCAGTCTAGCTTAAAAATGCACAAAATTTCCTAAAACTAAAATGTTCAAAGGGTTCCTGCTCACCAAGTAGAACAGAAAACTCAACTGGTCAATTCCTACCTTTTCGCCATCAAAAAACTTCAGGAAATGATGACTTTAAATATTCATAACTTTTCTATTATTACATATTTTACCCTTCACAATATCCTAAGCCTTGATTTTCACATTTTTAATAGAGATATACTGGTATACAATTATCTCAACTAAGACCAGGAATAAGTGTTTAATATGTTATGACATGACAATTATATCTTTCTTATGTTTATTGTGCAAACGCTAGTATCATAAAATAAATTCAGAAAGATTAAGCACCAAATAATTCTAAGTTTTAAATATAGCCCACTCAACAATATTAAATAGAATACCAGCTATTAGACAACTTTGCTTCACGTATTGGTATAACAATAATCTTACAGTAATTTAATTATAGTTGTGCAGTTTGTACATCACAGTGTATTAAAGAAAGAGAACTGAAATTTTCTATCATAAAACTCAACAGTCAAACCAAAATATTTTACATAACTTATTCATATGTAAAATCAATTTAATGTTTTGAATACAGAGTAGATATGTGTTCATCTCATACTCACCCATGAAATTGAGATAGCCTTCTCCACCAAGTGCATGAGTAATAAGTCGAATCATTTTGTGAAGCTGTATTCCACGATCGATGACTGGAGTGAAAGGAGCCAGAACACTCATGTGGGTATACATTTCAGCATCCATCAACCAAAATGCCAATGTTTTATCCCCAACGAGTGCCTACAGAAATAAAAGTCATGAGATAAATGTAAAGAATAGGTATCAAGCAGTTGCAACTTACACAAGATGGGAAACAATCCAGGAGAATTAGTATTCATATGTATGAGAATTAATATCAATTTCAATTATCCTCTAAGTAATTTCAATTACTCTCTATGCCTAAGGTATGCTGGTAAAATATATTAGAGAACAATGTATCTGTTTTCAGGGATGATTTTTATTTTTTTTAAAGATTTATTTATTTTTATACAAGAACCAGGGTACAAGCCAGATGCACGAGAGGGTGAGAAGATTCACCGGAGACAGAGCAGGGAAGAGAACAGGCAGACTGACGACATACACTGCTGAGGGGAGCAGCAGGTGAGACAGGAGAGGTCTGCCTGCCATGTGGGACCCTTGCAGGCCAGCTGGGATCAAACCTTTGCTGCAGAGGCTGTGGACAGCTTCACAGCGCGGTGCTCAACCGCCTGCGCCACCAGGGAGGACCGATGATTTTTATTTTTTAAAGTGCTTGTTGAAAAAAATCATGATAAGGTAGCAGAATATTTTTTATACCTAGGCCGATGCTTCAATTTTCTAAACTTGGAATAAACATTTATTATAACGTTGAGACTACTAAGTAGATTTTTATAAGCATTTGCATACTTACACAATTTTGATTGGGAAAAATGGAAGTGTTTTTATAAATCATTCACATGTATATGTATTTATATACATATTATTTATATATGAGTATAGGTACAGTATGTACATCTCTGTAAATATATTACGATGAACCCTTCTCCCCTTTAGCAAGTTGATAACATTTTCATAAAATGTAAAATTTGCTTGCTTTTTGTATTTGCTATTTAAACTAAAATTAATTTGTTCTATTGGAAAATATAATAATTGATAAGCATGGAAGGTAATTCAGAAATACCCAGAGTAGCAGAAGAGAGGTTTCCTAATCTGCATTATTCATGTTTAAAAACAACTAACACAAAGTAATGTACACTGACAGAAAATAATATATAGTGAAACATGTAATAGAAACTAAACCATATTCTTATCATCCAAATATAATTATTTCCATTTTTTGAAAAATATTTTTACTTATAACCTATTTGTTCTGCTATTTTTATTTACATTACCTTTAAAAATATCTTCCATTATAAAAATATTTGCTTATTCTGTGGTTTTGTCATTATATTAAGGGGCAAGAATTAACTCAGAATATGTTTCCTACCACAAAATTTTTATTTAGAGTTTCATTAGATGGTAATTATCAACTTCTTTGCCTGTGTTCAATTTTTTTTTTTGCTTTATCAAAGCAGTCTATTTGATCTCTGACTTATAAGTAAATATTTTAAATATAAATATATAGAACAAACATATATTGTTATAGATTAAGTTGTGTTTTTTCCTCTCCCAAATACACACTGAAGTCCCAATAACCAGTATGACTATATTCAGAGAGAAGACCTTTAAACAGGTGGCCATGCTTGAAGGAGATCATAAGGGAAAGGAACTAATTCAATATGAGTGATGTGCTCATAAGAAAAGGAATAGGAATAAATAAATACCAGGAATGAGTATGCACACAAAAAAGACCACTGAGGAAACAGACAGTCATTTGCAAGGGTAGAATACAGCCCTCAAGAAAAACTAAAATTCTTGACACCGTAACCTTGGACTTGCAGCTTCCCAAACTGTGAGAAATAAAGTTCTGCTGTTTAAACCAAACGGTCTATGACATTTCATTGTGGTGATCCTAGCAGACTAATACATATACCAATAAATGCAGCTTTGATCAGACGTAATAAGATTAGTTTGAAAATAATACTGTACTGCTAAAAAAAAGTTTGAAAACAATATATATAAAATATACATATATTTATTAAATTATTTTTATGCAACACTATTTCTTTTCTTTTCTTTTTTTTTAAGATTTTTTTTTTATGTATACAATAGCTGGGGTATAGGCCAGAAGCGTGCAGGAGGGTGAGAGGATTCACCAGAGACAGAGTGGGAAGCAGAACAGGAAGACGGACTGAAAGCACTGCTGAGGGGAGCAGCAGTGGCAAGAGGAGAGGTCTGCTGCACCATGAAGGAATCTCCGTGGCAGGCCAGGAATCAAACCAGTGCTGCAAAGGCTTCGGACAGCTTAAATAGCACTGTGCTCAACCAGCTGCGCTACCGGGGAGGCCAGACAGCACTAGTTCTTAAAGAGTTTTACCTTTTCACTTGTTTTGAATTGTTTAATTATACTTTTATCTATAATTGTGTTTATTACTGAAATCACTGATTCTATTCTATATTTTTATTTATTTTTTTAATTTAAGTTTTATTTTTATATTCCCCATACAATTACAACCCCCTTATTTTGACCCCAATCCCTCCTTATATTTTTAAATACATAAAAGTTATTTTGATAACTTGTTAACTTTGTTAAATTTTTACTGTGATGTATATTTCTACATTTTTCATCTCATAAACTTAGATAGTTATGATTTTGATCAGGATTAAGATTCAATATACATGTACCTTTTTTTTTCGCACATTCCTGATAATATGTATGCTGAATTGCCTAAAACTTTAGAGTAGTACATAATTCTTGCCAAGTCTATAATGTTTCTGTACATTTGGGAGAGGAAAATTATGAAAGTAATTTATCAATTTTTAATTTGTTTATTCCAATCATTTATTCTTTCATTTCTTCATCTAAAATAAACATATTAGAACTTAAAAAGAACTAAACCTGTATGATATTTCAATGGAAAGGTATAATTTATGTAAGTATTCTCATTTTCACATTATGAGGTACTTGGTATGGGTGTATTTCCGCCAACATTAAATTAATATTATTTGTTTCATTATATTTTGCTTTTGTTTTCTTCATAGGTATTTAATCTACTCTGTCCTATTTTAATTGAAAAGACAGCACTGCTCTAATTTGGAAGATGCAAAATTAGGGATATATCTACTTTGTGAGTCAGTAAATTTTCTAAAAAGGTCAAATAGTGCATATTTTAAGCATAGTGGGCCACTTTCACTACCTCAACTACTAAAATCTACCATTATGGGTCAAAAGCAGTCACAGACAGTACATAAATAAATGAGCATGGCTGTGTTCCAATTAACTTTACAAAAGCAGGCAGCAGGTAGAATTTGGCCCATGATCCTTAGTAGCTGACCTCTGGTCTACTTACACTTTCTTAATAATTAGACTAGCCACCAAAAAAAAAAAAATATATCTGTTTATGTGAAACGGCTAATTTTGCTGAAATAAAAGAGACACTTGTTGTTTGAGCTTCACTTTTCTTCATGTATACTGCTAATAGTTTCAAAAAAATTATTGCCTCATTTTTATTGTATAAGGCATACATTTTTATTTTTGTTTAGGACAATTAATGTGGATTTAAATAAATGGCCTTTCCCCTTTTCCATGTTTACTGACTGACCATGAGAAGCAGTAACAGTTATAAGGCTGAAAATACAAAGGGAAGGAAAACAAAAATTTTCCCTAAAACATGTTGAGAACCTGAATAATGGAGAAAATATTTTCTTCCTGTACAACAAGATGAAGATTTCAGGGAGAACATGACATCTGAGTTAGGCATTAGATCTTTTTTTGGAACTTTCCAGGTGAAGCAGGCATCTTCAAGTGTCTATGAGAAAGTCCAAGACAGCAACCTATTTCAGGAAAGGGTAGGCATTTTATAGTATTGAAGGACAGAATGTTTAGAGGACTGATCAGAGAATTTGGAGATCTTGGCTTTGGTCAGTACACTGACTAGCTAGAATGAGAAACTTTAACCAAAAGACCCGGGTTGACAAAATAAGATTTGGTGTTTGGAAAATAACCTCACACTGCATTAGAGAAGATGAACTAAAGCTGAGAGGGACTGGGGTCAGGGTAATCAATTAATAAGAGATTTCAGTGATTGAAGTATAAATGAAGAATGATTGTCAAAAGGCATTAAAAAAAATCTCTAAAAAGAAAACTCAATGGAAATTAAAATTAACTTGGATAAGCACCAATATCCCTCTCATTACTACAAAGGAAAACATGTAAGATAACACTTGCTACTGTCATTTACAATCTTTTCATAACAATTTGGCATTTTGAAGCTGGAATTTATAGGTCTGCAAAATCATTTTAAAATTTTTTTTAGTATGAGTAATTTTCACATAAAGACATCTATATAGAAAGACATAGATATGTTATATTAACTGTACTCAGCGATAGAAATTTGTATTTAGTTAAGTTCATAAGTACAGAGAGAATGAGCTAAAGAGAGAGAAAGAGAAAAAGAAAGAAATAATGAATTTATACATAAAGACACATATTCATTTACCTGATCATGGCTCTCTGCATAAGCAATGCACTTTTCAAGGTAGCGTCGGTTTGTGAGTGTGTACACTATATTGCCCATATTCCAGTCTTCATCTTTATATTCTTTAATTAGCTAGATGCAAGAGTGAAAATAATTTTAATAAGCCGTTATAATTCATACGGTAAATCTCCAATCTAAAGGTACACATCATATTAATCCAAATTATTTGACACAGATAAAACACACCCATTTTGCAAATATATTCTTGTTTAAAATATTACTGAAATCACAACTTTAATATTAATTGTCCAATTGACAGTGGTGGTGTGAGTGTTTTTTTTGTTTTTTTTTTTTTTTTTTGCTTTGTGCCAATGGTTTGATCATTGCATATTAGGATTTTGGCAACCATTTCTTTCCCTGTGACAACTGCTACCTTTTGATTAATGACTGCAGTAAAGTGTTACTGTACAATGTCTTTCTGTAATGTTCACCACATAGAGATATACTTGGTACAATTTTAGGTTTGAAAAAAAATATATTTTAACAGGAATAGTATTTTGTTTCATTTTTTCAGAGTTATAATTGCAACATCTATCATTTCAAAGTTTAAAGGCTAATTGTCATGAAATAATTATCTTAACAGACCTCATAATTTTTGTCTCTACTCAACTGCCACTCTTTCTTCAATCTAGTTTCTGGCCAGTTAACACCTCTTCAATTCTTGGACATTGCCAAGAAACCACATGATTATCTGTTAGATGAACAATTGCTCTTTCTTAGGGAACTTGCTGTACATATGGACAATTCTGACCGTCCCTTCCCATCAAATGCTTTCCTTTTTTACCACTTTGAGACTCTTAAGTTTTGTCTTGCTTTCTTAGTACTCCAGGCATCCTGCAAAAGCTCTTCCTTCTGCCTGTCCTATAAAAGTCAGTGCTCCTCAATCATGTCCTAAAATAACCTTTTACTTCATTGGCACATTTCTCTGTCCAAAATATCAACAGTACTCTGATAAGCAGAATTCTAAAATGGCCCCATGAGTCTTGTTCCCTGTATTCATACCTTTGTCTCATTCTTCACCCAAAATGTGGGTAAGACCTTTAAATATGATAAATGCCCTCTGATAAAACTGTGAAATAAAACTGAGTTATGTTTTAAATTGCTGCATTTGTGGTAATTTACTATGCAGCAATAGAAAGATAATGCAGCTTTTGATACAAGGGTTCTAGTCTGCTTTTACTCTTTGCTGATTTTCTCGCAGCATAAGTCAGACTTGCTTAGCCATCCCCCAGACGGCAGTGTGAATCACTGAACACCAGAAGGCACACTGTTAGGAAGAATAATGACCACCCACAGAGGTTCACATCCCAATACCTAAAAAAATCTATATTCTGACATGGAAAGGAGGACTTAAGAGGTGTACGAAATTAAGCACATTGAAATGGGAATATTATTTTACTTCAAAATGTTTAATTGATGGGTCCAATGTAACTACAGGGAACTTTCTAAAAAGAAGACATGACTTGTTAGATTTATAGAAAGATTTGAAAATGCTACCCTGATGGCTTTGAACAGAAAGGAAAGGGCCACACATGAGCCAAGAGGTATTGCTGGCTTTAGAAGATAGAAAGGCAAGGAAACTAGAGCCTCCTGAAGAAATGCTGCTTCGCCAGACCTTCATTTTAAGCTAGTAAAACCTATTTGAGATTTGTGACTTATAGAACTCTTAAGAGCTATATGATTATAAATTTGTGTATTGCTTTTAGCTGCTAAAGTCACTAAGCTACTAAATTTGTGTTAACAGTTTGAAATTAATCATAGACATGAAATGTGCCCAATTTTTGACAAAATATCAAATCTTGATTTAAGTGATACTATTTGCACAAATTAACTCAAAATAGTAATGGACTGAAATAGAAAACTGTAAAATGCTTAATAGTAAACACAGGAGAGTGAAAGAATTCTTGGAATTGACCCCAAAGAGAGATCTCTACAATGGAAAAAAAAAAAAAAAAAAAAAAAACCTGCCAAGTAGGCCTTTATCAAATTTAAAATAAAGATAGACTTTTTGTTCAGTGAAAGTCCACATGAAAAGGATGCAAGCACAAGCAACAGACTGGAAGAAAATATTTATCAGTCCCATAGCCAACAAAATAGTTGAATCTAGACTATATAAAGAACTCTCAAAACTCCACAGGAATAAATGACTAGACAATAATGAAGAGGAATGAATAGACATTTTCCTAAAAGGATATGTGGAAGATGTATAAATACATAAATTGACATTTTTCATCATAAACCATTAAGGAAATGAAAATTGAAACTGCATTGAGGCATCACTACATACCTATTAGACTGATTAAAATAAAATCGTAACAACACCACATAAAGTGGGAGAATGTACAGATCTCGTTGGTTTCAATAGTACTGGTGAGTTTCATTCTTTTCTATCTAATTAACTAAGGATGCCATTTTGGCGATGCAGGAAGATTTTAAATAATTGCATACAACAAAAATTTTATCTATGCAAAGAACTTAAAATCTTAGAATTTAACATGGTGAGACCATAAACATAGGACCATATATTTTTCCACTTGTATGAAGGTAGAACAGTACCTTCAGCAGGCAAGGTACTATAATGTTTAGTGAGTTAAAGTTTTTTTTACAATTACTGATGAAATTCATATGGAATCACCAAAAACCCCGAATAGCCAAAGCTCTCCTGAAAAAAAAAGAAGGGAATGGAGGCATCACACTCCCAGACTTCAAACTATACTACAAAGCCATAATCATCAAAAATGCATGGTATTGGAACAAGAACAGACACACAGACCAATGGAATCGAAAATACTCCAGTCAAAAAATGGGCAGAAGAGCTGAAAAGAAACTTCTCTGAAGAGGAAATGCAAATGGCCAACAGACATATGAAAAAATGTTCAACATCACTTGTCATCAGGGAAATGCAAATCAAAACTACCATGAGATACCATCTTACACCAGTGAGAATGGCACATATTAAAAAAACTAGCAACAACAAATGTTGGTGAGGTTGTGGAGAAAAAGGAACTCTCCTGCACTGTTGGTGGGAGTGCAAACTGGTCCAACCACTATGGAGAGCTTTGTGGAGATTTCTTGACCTACTAAACATCGAGCTTCCATATGATCCAGCAATTCCACTCCTACGTATGTACCCAAAAGACACAGAAACATCAATTTCCAAAGAGCACCTGAACCCCTATGTTTATAGCAGCACTGTTTATAATAGCTAAGCTTTGGAAACAACCCAAATGCCCAAAAATAGATGACTGGATCAAGAAGATGTGGTACATATACACCATGGAATATTACTCAGCATTCAAAACAGATAAACACATGCAATTTGCAGCAACATGGATGACGCTGGAAGGGATCATGCTCAGCAAAATAAGCCAGAAAAAAAAAGAAAAATACTGGATGGTCTCACTCACAGCAAGAATCTAGAAAACTTAAATAAGGGATCAGGAAAATGAATAACTATAAGAAAGTGAAAATCAAAATCAACACAAAACTACGAACCAGAGACACTCTATGGGGGGGCGGGGGGCAGGGAGCGGAGGGATTGGGGTCAAAATAAGGGGGGTTGCAATTGTATGGGGAATATAAAAATAAAATTTATTAAAAAAATAAAGTTTGTTTTAAAAATCCCCATTGTTGGGCCTCCCCTGGTGGTGCAGCGGTTGAGCGTTGGGCTGCAAATCTGCCTGCAGCCTCTGGAGCGCCAGTTCGATCCCCGGCCACAGGCAAGGGTCCCACATGGAGCGACAGACCTCTCCTGCCATGCCCGCTGCTCCCCTCAGCAGTGTATTTCATTAGTCGGCCTGTTCTGTTCCCCGCTCTGGCTCTGATGAATTCTCTCACCCTCCTGTGCTTCTGACTGTACCCAGTGCTTGTATAAATAAATAAATAAATCTTTAAAAAAAAATTGCCATGAATACATAAAGGGAAATATCATGCTGTGAGCTAAGACAGGCTCAGAAGTAATTCTAGGTTAATATATACCTTGAAATATTCTTGAATCTGCACAAAGAATGGTGAGAGCATTGTTGTACAATGTTTAAAAAATAATGTTTAGCATTTGTGAGGGAAGTAAGTCTAGATGGACGACTGGAAATAGTATGAGTTGGTGGTAAAAAAAAGAACCTTAAACCATGGTAAGAAGCTTGAAATCCACAGTAGTAAAAAAAAAAAAAAAAAAAACAAAAAAAACATAAGGCAACTTGCCCAGGTATTAAAACTAGAAAACTCCTTAGTTTGACTTCTAATAGTCTAATTGTTTTTGTAAAACACTTGGTTTTTACTTGACAATGTTTGAATAATCATTACAAATGTAAAGTTATGTTAGTAGAAGTTCAACGTCACAACTGTGCCTTGCAAAAATTGCCTGGATTTGTAGGAAAGACAGTTAAAAGATGAATACAATAATCACTTCTATCAGAGTAGACTGGTGTCTCTATGAAAAGTTAAGCATTTCTAGCATTGTGATCACAAAACACCTGTTCATGTTGACTAAAAAATTCATCAGAAAGCCATGATTATTTGATACACATCTGTCTCCTTCAACATACTCAGCCAATGATTATAGACTTGGTCATTGAAAAATGTCCTATATCAAATCCATTTCAAGATGACAACTTTAGTCTCTAGGCAAATATTAAATGAAACATATAATCCAAACCACTGGAGGATCATTAATTTTAATAAAATTGTATTAGAAATAATCAGCAAGATGCCATAGGCAATGACTGCAGGGGTTGAATCCTACATTCCTAGAACCTGACACATGGTAAGGACTTTAAAGTCTGAATGAAGGAATACAAGTGAGCTCAGAAAAGGCCAAACCATGGGCCTCCCTGGTGGCACAGGGGTTAAGTCTCAGAACAATCAAGCTATTGCCATCCTCTGCAGCATGAGTTCAAACCGTGGCCTGGGAGCTAACCCACATGGTGCAGCAGACCTTTCCTGTCTTGCCCGCTGCTCCTCTCAGGAGTGTATTTCAGTAGATCCACCTGTTCTGCTCCCCACTCTGTCTCTGGTGAATCCTCACCCCCTGCAAACCCTAACCTATCCCCCAGTTCTTATAAGCATAAAGTAAAGAAAAAATTTAAAAAAAAAGAAAGAAAAGGTCAAACCATGAAACAAATACAGGGAATTAAGGAGTAGCCTTTATATTAACTGATGATTTGTAGGGAGAAATGGATATTTCAAACAAGTTTAGTGTGTTTTAAAAATAGGACACTGAAGTTTTATATATTTGCATTCATAATGCAAATTTCCATTTCATAGCTAATATTATAGGAATCATACTTTCTCCTTGCCTGAATATTACCAAATATAACTTTTTTAACTATTATTTTTTATTAAGGTAAAGTTAGTTTATAATACTATATATTATTTAGAAATACAGGATTGCATCTCTTCAGATTATGATACCATATCACACTCACCACCAGTGACACTATTTTAAATTAAAACTTTTAGAAATTTGAGAATTTCTTTGTTTAAAAACACAAGAATCACACACTAATGGGAGAATTTAATACTTCAAACATAATATCCGAAATTAAGAATCACAGCTAAGAAGCATATTGAAGAAATAATAAACCCACAGAAGACAAAGTCTCCACAGTGGGAAAAAATTACATAAAATCTTACCTGGATCCATTTATCTGGAATTGCCATGGCTAATCGATAGTCAAAGCCGCCCCCTCCCTGGGAAATGGGAGAACACAGAGCTGGCATTCCTGATACGTCCTAAAACAGAGTACATGAGTATTATCAGTGCGTCCTTTTCAAATTTTTTACTAAATATTCTTCTGACAGTAAGAACTTGACAATAATAAATGAACACAATAAATAGGGGAATATATTTTTGGCAAGTTTTGGTAACAGAATTGTAAAAGTAGATATAATTGTGAAAGTATATCTAATTCCCCACAAAGATTTTATGTAATGCTATTCACTGCAGGATGACTTTGATCATGTGAGGATATAATTTTCTTTTCCTTAGTATCACATAGAGAACACAAAATAGTAAAAGTACTATTGCCAAAGCAGAGTTCTTTAGACTTATTTTCTAACTACTGTGTGAACATTTTTATTAGTTATTGATTTTATTAAACACATAAACACATGCACCATGATGTCTGTTATACTAGTCTCCAATGATAACTTGAAGTATATTTTGTGAGCACTTAGCTCCCAAGGAAAGGAAAATAGAGTTAGAACATTACCAGTGAAGCGATAAGATGGCTTTCATTATGGGTGCCTACATTTGGAAAGGGTTTTTGAGGTTATCTAGTGGATCCTCTTCATTTAGCTGATACAGAAAGAGGTTTATTGAGGTGAAGGGATCTTTAGAGATACACGTTTCTCAGTGGTAGTGCTAGGACTCAGATGTCAAGTCTTTCAACTTTCTACTCTGTCATGCTACTGCTAGACTACAGATAAATCAAAGAAACAATCAATTCAACAAACAAGTAAGTAAATTTTTTTTTCTAAAGACCACATTTAACAACATGTATTATTATTACAACTGTGGAAAACATGATCCAAGTACTAGTCATTTTAACTGCACACTCTTTAAATAAATCCTTTTCCTTTGCTTCAATCACTATAGCCACTATCTTATTTCATCTTCATTACTTTTTGCTTAATAAGACCATTATATTTCAAAATGGAATTCCCCATTTTCAGTTTCTCTTCACACAAACTGTTGTCAAACCAACATCTTATGAGAATCTGTTTCTATCACTACCTGTCAATAACTGCCAAGAGCCATCAATTGAAATGAAAATATTTTAAACATTCATCGCACACTTTAATCACTAAAAGTATGATTTATTATTTGATTGCATGCTTCCTCATTCACTGTTACAATGTAAGATCCATGGAAAATAAGTTTGTTTTTTGTTGTTGTTAGACTCTAGAACAGTAGAACAGTACCTGGCACACAGCATATACTCAACAAATACATGCTGAGTGAAGGAATGAGATGCTATAAGGATTTAAAGTAAATAAGGCATAGTTTCTGACCTTGGGGGACTCACAAACTAGGACCTAAATATACTATATACACTTACTGTCATGAAATGACAATGTGATATGATTTTATTTTTTTAAAGATTTATTTATTTATGCACACAAGCACTGGGGTGTAAGCCAGAGGTGCGGTGGTGAGAGGATTCACCAGAGAGAGTGGGCAGCAGAACAGGTAGCTCTACTGAAATACACTGCTTAGGGGAGCACGGGTGAGGTAGGCAAGATCTGCTATGCCATGTGGGTTGCTGGCCTGGGCTCAAACTTGTGCTGCAGTGGCAGGGAATAGCTTGATAGCACTGTCTTTAACCCCTGTGCCACCAAGGAGGCCCAATGTGATATGATTTTGATAGTTGTTAACTGAAGTACACCAAGTGAAATGGAGACACAGACATTCTTTCCACCATTATTTCTTGTTATTTTAGTTCAATTACTAAATCTTTTTTTTTTTTTGTTTGTTTTTTTTTTTAGTTTCCATAGGATATTTGCATTTTATTAATATGATGGAAATAACAGTTATTAGAAAGCTGAGAAAATACACATAACATGTGACAATATCTTGGGGACCTTTTCCAGGATTTCAGATATGTGTTATCAGTGTTCCAGTTCCAAATAAAAATCCGTTCCTATCCTTGGAAGTGAAAGAAGTTCTTCTGATTAAAAGCAAAACAAAACATACTCTGCTGCATTAGCTACTGTAATCTTCACAGTAACCTTGATTGTTATCCACTTTAAGCACTTACTCTTCCCTGTGCTTTCCACAAGCATTTCTATTTGTGTCATTGCTCAAACTCTTTCTTGGACATTCTTCCGACTTCTTATAAGAAGTACCACATACTATTAGCTACCTAAAACTTAACTCAAATACTTCTTTATTCACAAGATCATCCCCAAACTCTTTCACAGAAAAGCTGGACAAAAGAAATTTATGGACTCTGGATTCTCAAAATAAATAGTTAATTGTTTTTTTATGGAAGAGAGATATGGGTAAATAAAGTACATGGCTGAATATATTCATAAATAATATTTTAAAAAGAAAAAGCAGATAAAAATTTTGTCACTGTCTTATTTCTACATTGCACTCTATAGTTTATAAAATGAAAAAAGGATGGATGAAAAACTATGGATGGTTAACAGAAAAAAAGCTATGTTAAAAGAAGAAAAAAGTTTATCAAAATATGACATATTTTAATAGCTATGGTAGGTATCCAGTTCAATTTCCTTTAAATACTGGCAGAATATGTATTAAATATCAGCCACGTCTGTAAAGTGCTGGATTATAGACACAGTGTCTTTTCAAAAGGGTTTTACAGGAACAAGGGATCAGGAATGACTAGGAATATGCTGTCATTAAAAATCAAGATAATTTTTCTCAAAAAATATTAAGGTGTGTTCTATATTTGGTCTAAAAATGTTTTAGGAAATACCTTGACAGGAAATGAAATCTTTAAGAAAAGTATTTGGACACCAAATATCTTGGATCTTAAATCTTTTGATCTTGGATCTTAAATCTGAATTGTAGAAAACTGCCCCATTAGTACATGAGGTATTTGTAGTTATCTTTGAAAGTGGAGAGTTAAAGACTGTCCTTTTAAAATCTTATAAGATATAATGAAGGTAAATTAAAGATCACTAAAATAAATGTGCTCTAAATACAAAAATGTTGACAGCTACCAATACATCATATTAAAATAATCATTATCTGTTCAATTTAAGCTAAAACCATTCTAATTCTTTAATAGCTCAAGAGTATTTATGATTATTCCCAAGGGAGAAATAACCTCAATTACAAATATTTTAAATTAATATAGCAAATAGAGCCTTGTAAAGTAGTAAGTATATTCTATATTAATAGTTATCATTATAAAAAATTCAAATTTCTACAATACGGTTTTATATAAAATTACATTACTTATTTGTTACACCACTTTGCTTTCTTAAAAAATAGTTCATGAGGATCAATTCCACATTTTGAAGAGATTCTCACAAGACAGAAAAGTGATGTATTGAAATTGAAGTAGTTTTCAATTTAAGTAGAATAAATTGAAGACAAATCTTGTTTAAAAAAATCTAAAACCAAGTAATATAAAGTAGGCTAAAGTCTCAAAGTTTCATTGGCAGTAACACAGATAATCAGACAAGAGCTCCCTAGATGATGAAACCATTTCACTTGAAATGAACGGGAAGATCAATGTAACAATTTTAAGTTTCATGTATTAAATAATTGCTTCTTTTTCTTCAGTACCCACTTTTGATTTGTGCTGTCATTAATTGTTTGTAGCAATTTGTCATGTATAATGCCACTACTCTGAATTGCCATAAATATAATTGACAAAATAATTAACTTTTTTGATGTCTGAAAGATAAAATTAAAATATATGAGACAAAATAAAAGTTTAAAATACACTGTGATTGATGTAAAAAGCTATCTAGCAAATGAAATATTAGCACAAGCATTAGGAAGATCTATAAGCTATGACCAAATGTAAAAAGGTAGAGAATGTGAAATAATACAGGGTATCAAGATGAAATAATAACTTTTTTTTAACTTTATGTAGGAGTTTATTCCAGGAATTTTTGGGCTCTATTCCCAGAAGATATGCCTTAAGAGTACAACTGTTTCGTATGCAGAGATAAACAAGGAAAAAATACCACTCAGCTGGAGAGTTTTGTTTTGAGAAATGATGGATAGAAAAAAAGGTAGAGGAATAATAAATACTACAAGAAGGAGATCATTACTACTATATTTCATTCCATAGAACAAAATACTAGCAACGTACAAATATGCCTTAATTCTGACCTTTTCAGTCTTAGTGTTTTTATAAGTCAACCACTACTTTGCACAGAACAGTTTTAACATACTAAATTCAATTTTAATAATAATTCCTAGTTAGAGGACTCAGAAAACCGGAGGGATTTTAGTACTAAATCTAAATTAGCATAAGCATTTAACAAACTTCTTAATTTATCACATTTATCACCAAGAGGGGAATTGTCAATTATTCATATACTGAATTATATCATTAGAGTGCAGCTTTGGGACAGTTAATCATGGACCTTCAGTAATCATGAATAACTGGAGAACATTTGGCAATCCAAGAGCAATAACGTAAACAAGAAAGGTAATCGCATCAGAACAAGAAGCTTCAGAGAAGCTCATGGGCAACGATCCATGCCATCTCCAATGATTAAACCAGAAAAGAAAAAAGAAAAATAAATAAATAGACAGATGCACATTAATATTCAATACTTTTCTCTGCTGAAGGTCTCATAGCACAAGGACCTGTCCACTGATTAGGATATTTTAATTTCTAACCACTGACTTTTTTTTTTAAACAACAGAATGATGACAAGTAATTAGTGTACACTATCTCCTAATAGGAAAACAATGAATTCTAAATAATGTCCCACCCATACAAGGTAGTTGTACCATAGTGAGGCTACAATTTCAATTATGCAATTATTGACAACATGAGATTAATCATTCAAATACCACATGTTCACAAAATGTTGTATATAAAAGGTTATTAGAGGGTAGGCAATCTTTATGGCCTTACCTCAGCTATTGTTATAGAATCTGGATACAATGTGTGAACCAAATGATTTGCCAACATGAGGTAAATTAAGGCATCTTCATCTACATGTAGTCCAAAATATTCATGGTAACCACCTGAAAATCCTTGACCTAGAGAACAAAAAGACAATATCGAGGCATTGCATTAACATGAAAGTCTTAAGTATAGCCCACTGTCCCCATCAATTAGTTTTAATATTAGTTTTACCATAATGCAGCAGCTTAGTGAGCCTCCACCCCACATAACATTATCATCAGCAAATATATGAAACGTATTCCACATCGACATTCAGATCACAAATGAATCTGCAATCCAGTTTATGTTTTACAAAAGCAAACAAATTATTTTATTTAAAATTCTAATTCAATTTTAACTGAATTTTTCAACAGAAAAATAAAGTAAAATGGTAAAAAGGGAATTCTAAATTTCAACTTTCAGATTTTTTTTGGTTACCTGAAGACATGTAATATAAGTTAGCTCCCACTAGAACCCTCTATAATAAATAAAAGCGAATGTAAAAGCCATTACAAAACCAAGGTATGTTTATATTGTGACTAACATGTGTTTCAATTTATGCAATATGGATGTCATATGAAGACAAAAAGATCTTAAAATTCTGAAACTTCCTTCTACATCTTCTTTCCATTCTTCCTGATTTTGGTTGCATATATCATATTTCATTTATTGGGGCAATACCATTTACTTTCTTTCAGTTGTTTACACAGTTTATTTAGTCTTTCAGTTTATTTACTCAGTAAATAAATCAAATTAGTGCTCAACACCTGCATTTTTGCCCCCATTTCCCTATACCTAAGTATTTTATTTGACTCGCCTTTTTTTGTTTTTGTTTTTTAAAGATTTACTTATTTATTTATACAAGAACCGGGATGTAGGCCGGATTCGCAGGAGTGTGAGAGGATTCACCAGAGACAGAATGGGGAACAGAACAGGCAGAGTGACGAAATTCACTGCTGAGGGGAGCAGCGGGCACAATAGGAGAGGTCTGTGGCACCATGTGGGACCCTTGCCAGCTGGCCTGGATCAAACTGGTGGTGCAGAGGCTGCGAACAGCTTCACAGTGCTGCGCTCAACCACCTATGCCACCAGGGGAGGCCCTTGGCTTACCTTTTTTAAAGTTTGTCAAATGCTATCACTTGAAGGTTATTATCAATCATAATTATGGAAATTTATTCTTCAAGTTTTTTCAAATTTCTATGTCAAGAGCAATGCAACTATCAAACTTCTGAGTTACAATTTGTTCCCCTAAGAATTTTGCAGGTATTTCTACTGGTAATAGAGTATTATGAGTCCATCCATTTTTTCATTCAGGTTTAAAAATTGCTTATTTTTCAAAATGCTTGATGAATTTTTTTTTATATCATTGAAACGTATGAATTAAACACACTGTGTGTTGATGTCAATTGCTTTAGCTCAACTTTTTTGTAGTGTACCATATGTCCTTTTGTTGTACAGTTTTGGTGTTGTTTTTTGTTTTTATTTCCAATGGGGGAAAACAATAGTAACTCAATATTTTTTCTTATACTTTCTTGGACATTCTACCCCTAAATCATGTCACATGTCTATAATCTTTGGCTCATTTCCCAACTCCACAAGTCATTGGAAAATACCCATCTTTCAGCAGAGAGAGGTTCTGAAAGAGCACGTAAGTGTTTTAGTCTAGGAGAACATAGTTCCTGAATTTTGTCATGCTTGCTTTTTCATTACTTAAGTGTATTTCTTCCCAAACTGGGTGATATCAATAAAATCTGTCACATTATATAGAGTCAATTCTTCCCCAAGAGCATTTCATGGGAGCAGTACCATTAGTAAGAGCAGATAGTATTATACTTGACTATAGTTTCTTTCCCTCCACAACCCCCTCCTTTTTATTTTTGATTATTTGTGGTTAGAAAATATTTATCTATTATGCAAATAAAAATAGCTTGTCATATTATTTATTGAGGGATTAGGCTTCTGTGATCCCATCTTTGTATAACTTTTAAACTGAGGATCTTTGATCAATATCTTTAATTACAAATCAATCTATAATTTAATTTTAACTGAGTGTTTAAAACAACTAGATATAAAATATACATATTTTCTTTAATATGTAATATGCAAAGGCCCACACATTGATACATATTCACATTTGTTATTTATATTTATTTTTCATTATAATTGCCCTGTTCACATCTTTGGAGTGTAGCAATAAATGATTTCTCTAAAAAATATTTTTAAAAGAAAGTCACATATTAAGGATGACATATTATTAAGTACATATATTTTAAGGAATGTTATTTATAATATTTTACTTGTTTATAAAATGTATTTATACCCAACCCCTGCCAAAAGGAAATCAGAGGTGACTATAGAGAAGAAATATAAAATGAAATTAATTAAAACCCAATCAACAATAATGGTCATTGCAGTGCATGTGGCTAAACCCCAAACCTAATTGCAATCTTCCAGTAAAAAATAAAAGCAGGTCATTAATTATGTCTGTAATACAGCAAGTTACCTACCCATTCCATGGTGATGATAGAGCATGGATGTAACACCATCAAAACGAAATCCATCAAAGCCATATTCCTCTAACCACCATCTTAAGTTTGACAGAAGAAATCGTAAAACTTCCCAGCTAGAATCAGAGAAAAATACATATTTAAGCAAAATGTACATAGTGAGTTTTCACTGTTATATGTTGCTTGCTTGCAAAGACTATTAATTAAAATTAAATTTCTCTTAAAAATCATGATGTTCAAAGAAATATGAGACCCAGTAAATGAAAAACATTTACCTTGTTTGATGAAACTCACTCTAAAAGAAAAATGGTTAATTTCTTTTAGCTGCAAATTAATTATTTTATATCTGAGAAAAACCAAGGAAATATTGGTCACATTGGGCACTAAGGGATTCTCTCTTAGTCCATGATGTGTCCCTGTAACCATGTATTAGTCACTATTTTAGTGCTCAAAAAAGATCTGCTACATATCTCTGAATTTTCATCAAATTTTTCACTTAATATAGCCATAATTTCAGGGGCTTCCCTGGTGGCCTAGGGATTAAGTCTCAGTGGTATCACCCCTACCAGCCTGAGTTGGATCTCAGGCCAAGGAGCTAACCTACATGGCACAGCAGACCTTTTCTGTCTCATCTACCGCTCCCCGCAACAGTGTATTTCAGTAAATCCTCCTGTTTTGCTCCCTGCTCTGTCTCTGGTGAATCCTCTCATCCCCTGCACCTCTGGCCAACACTCCAGTTCTTGTATGCTTAAACAAATCAAAGTTAAATCTTTAAAAAATATATAGCCATAATTTCATAGCTTCTCCTTTAAGAAAATATAATCTTACTATGAGTAGAAAAACTGCCCCGATGTTTACTTAAGATATTTCCCCATGCTACAATTTCAGATATATAATTCAGAATAAAAAGTAAAAGAAAAATTAGACATTTAAAAGCAACCACATGATAAGCCAAATTACTTTTAATAGACTATTGTCAGAGTGAAAAAAAAGGAACCTAATTACTAAAAAACATATGTTTAGTAAAGTAGAAAATTCTACAAGTTAAAAAGCCCTACATCCATAAAAACAGAAAGAAAACAAAGAACTATATAACTCAATTAAAAACACTGCACGAAACAAGTCTATTTCGGACAATTGAAAAGAGGGCATCATCAATTAGTCTATTCTTTAGTCATATAGTTATGGTTGAGTTCTCTATCTTATTATAACTGGGGCTTTAAGGCTTTAATACCTCATTTAGTTTAATGACAAAGCAGTAATAGTGTACACAAATCTTTAACCCAGTTGAAAGTTATGCATTTTTTAAATCTCCCATATATTAAGGAGCAATCTGACATAAGTGGAGATTAAGTCATCACAATCAACTCTGGAATTGTAAATTTAAACATTGGGGAAAGGTAAGTGCTGTTCCTAATTCACTGCTTTAAGTTACTCTGACTTTTAAAAACTTACTCCAAGTTAATAAAAAGGAATGACAAAACAGATATACAAGCAACCACTACTTTGCTAAGAAAGGAAGTCAGGAGTTTCGATAATGTTGGGTTCAAGGTATGATGAAGACAGAATTTGTATAATCACCTAGGTTTTAAGAAAAAAAGCCTGCTTAGGGGACAGGAAAGAAAAAAAGAGAAAAAAAAAACCCTCTTTAACAAAAAATAAATAAGCAAAAACAGAGACTACAACTAAACAAGTTAAAAAAAAATACATTTTGCATGCAAATTTCTGATTTTTGTCCCTTTTAGAAAGTTTTTTTTTTTATAAGCTTTTTTTTAAAGAAGAGTTTTAGGTTCACAGCAAAATTGAAAGGATGGCACAGAGTTCTCACATATACCCTGTTCTCAGACAGTCAGATACATATCTATATTTATTAATAAGGTTGTTAGATGAGCATTTCAGAAAGAAAACATACAATTTGAGTATCAATAATCTTTTGAAACACACACACAGACCAATGTTACAGAATTGAGAGCTCAGAAACAAAACCACACATATATGGACAACCAATGACAAAGGAGCAACCTGGAGCAAGGAAGGCCTCTTCAGTAAATGGTGCTCGGAAAATTAGACAGCCACATGCAAAACAATGCAATTAGACTACTTTATTGTGCTACATGGGAAAATCAACTCAAAGTAAAAGATTTGGATGTGAGACCTGAAACCATAAAATACATAAAACATATGTAAAACACTCCATGACATAAACTTCATCAACATCTTTGAGGACTCGTTTCCAGCAGCAAGGAAAATAAAGGACAATATTAACAACCAGGATACATCAAACTAAAAAGCTTCTGTACAGCAGAAGAGACAGCAACTGAAAAGAGGAGACAGCCCAATGAGTGAGCAAAAATATCTGAATGACATATATCTGATAAGGGACTGACACTGAAGATTTATGAAGAGCTCATACAACTCAGTGAGAACAAAGCAAAAAACCCAATCAAAACATGGGCAGAAGACTAAATAGGCAATTCTCCAGAGAAGATATGTAAATGACTAGCAAGAATATGACAAAATATTCATCATCATTTATAATCAGGAAAATGCAAATCAAAGCCACAATGAGATACCACCTCACACCTGTGAGAACGACTCAAATATAAAAAAGAAAAAAAGAAAAAGAAACAAGTACTGGCAAGGGTGTGGAGAAAAAGGAACCTCTTACACTGTTAGTGGGAATGTACAATGGCCAGACACTAAAAATGGAACTGCCATATGACCCAGCAATTCTGCTCCTAAGAATCTATCCAAAGAACACAAAACAACTAATTTGAAAGGAAACCTGCACTCACATATTTATTGCCACACTATTTACAATAAACAACATATGGAAACAACCTAAATGTGCCAAAACAGATGAATGGATCAAGGTGTGGTACACATACACAAATGGAATACTACACAGCAAACAAAACAGATAAACACTCACAGCAACATGGAGTGAATAGAAGGGATTACACTAAGTGAAATAAGTTAGAAGTAAAAAGATAAATATCAAATGGTTTCACTAATATGTGGAATATAGAGAAACCAAAAAAGGGTCAGACAAAGACAAACCTTGAAAGCTGGCCACAGATATTAGGCATCCAGAAAGGGATAGGGTGGGATGAAAATGGGGTGGGAGGAGAGCACAAGGGACTATGATGATCGACTACAGGTGGTATGGTGGGAGGAGAACTATGGTGAACACTCCTGAGGGGAGAAATCCCATACTGTCAAATATTAACAAGGAAGTAAGAAAAAAGTACCTCATTAAAAAATAAATTTATTATGAAAAAACAATAATCTTTTGAAAACAATGTTATCTAAATATATAAATAATTATTTTAATTTGACTATTTAACTAGAAATGTGTTTTTACTTCTGACATGGAAATTGTAATTTTAGCCTAAGCTATTCCAGAGTGGAACCAAAACCTGTTTAAATACAAAATATTCTGGATAGGTATCTGAATATATGAATATATGAAGCAAAGATCAAAATTGTCCCTAGGCCTGAACTACTTTTATCTCTAGCTTCCAAAATACTTTTAAATTGTACAATTACAATGCCTGTAGCTGGAACATGTACTTTATAGCTCTTTCCACATTTTCTTTTTCTTTTTTTTTTTTTTTAAGATTTAGTTATTTATGTATACAAGAGCTGGGGTACAGGCCAGAGATGCAGGGGGTGAGAGGATTCACCAGAGACAGAGTGGGGAACAGAACAGGCAGACTGACTGAAATACAATGCTGAGGGGAGCAGTGGGTGAGCCAGGAGAGATCTGCTACGATATGTGGGTTGCTCCCTGGTCAGCCAGGAATGGAACTCGTGCTGCAGAGGCTGCGGATTGCTTCATAGTGCGGTGTTTAACCCCTTGCACCACCAGGAAAGCCCATTCCACATTTTCTTATACCAATGCTATTTATCATTTATGTAAGTAAATACAAATTTATATCACTAGCTTGAGGTGATGCTGTCAATTACTAACATAAATATCATGGGCTACATGTTTTCTAGGCAGGTGAAAGTTCAACTGTAAATGCTGTGTCCTAATATCTAATGTATAAAGATAAAAAGGAAATTTCTTTAAATGAGCGAAAGATACTGCAATTCAATGAAAAATAGAAAAAGGAGATGATCTGATTTTAATAACTGGAAAGGAAGCATTGCCTTATACCACCTGGTTGCTTAAGGGCACAGTTACAAAATGGCCTATTGGTTCCCATATACCATTTAATCTAGACCCTTCTTGACTCAAAGGGCTAAAAGAAAACATACTAAAAGGGAAAGTCATTTAGCTCTAACCGTGAGTAGACAGATTCTTGGCATGGGTGATTTAAAATTCTAAGGAATTTAAAAATATGAAATTATATTCTTTAAACCTCAAATATGTTCTTGAATTGAAACTTGCATCAACAACACAAATAAACCTAAAAAAAAAAAAAAACCCACAAGATTAAACTGAGGGAATACATTAAATTTGGACTACTTTCAAAATTATTTATTTTCTAATATTTCATAAGCATTAATGAAACATAAAATAGATGTGTTATCTGTAGAGATAAAAAAGGGATACATAAAATTTTACTGGATAACCAATTGCGTAGAAAAAATTAGTAAAGAACTATCCACTAAAAGTAAATTGAGGCAAACGAAATTAAGTGACTTTATCAAAGAATTAAGAGTGAAGACTTAAACCCAAGAGTTTCCAGATAACTACGGAAAAGTTGCCCCAATGCTCAGTGAGGATTATGTATAGTTATTTCGAAAAGATCTGTAAAAGTGAAGAAAATTTGGGGAGGTTTCAATTAATGTATTTATCTTATATTATCCATGCATTGAAGAAAGCAAAGACAGTTGTTAGAATTTACCCTATTTGTTTAGAACCTTATTTTCTAGGAACTGGGAGTTTAGGGATGCCATAAAGACTGAAGTGTCTTTTTTGAAGTTACTAATTTGCTGTTTTTAGGTGGTGCAGTCTCTTGCCAGGACTAGGCACTTGGTTTGGGTGGTATGTTTCCTAGTTCTTTAGTTCCTTAGTTAAGACAGGGAGGGGCCATACCCTTTTGAATTGTTGATTTTTAGTTAACAATGAAAATCAATAAAGTTTTACTTTTTAACAAAACACAAT